AATATATATACTATTGTTTAATTATGCAATCGATCTTTAATAAATTATTGACGATCTTATTTTAGATCGTAACAATATATAATAATCAAAATATTTGGATTAGTTAAAATTAGAAATGAACAAATTACAGTTTCTTTAAAAATCTAGTATATAATATATAAGATTCATTATATTTAAAGCTACATGATACAATAGTATTAAGACAGCTTTTGTCTTAAATTAGCTCATAACTAGACATATACCATGCTAAATTACAATCATATAAAAATTTTATAGTAATATGTTTTTAATATAATAATTGTATTAGTAATAAAATAAACTAAATAAAATTATAAAATTATAATTGTGATTAGTAAATCTGATTAGTAATAATAATATATTAAGTTAAATTAATTTTAGTATTTAAGTATTATGATAAATAGAGGTAGAAATAATTTTATTTCTTTTGCTAATCTAACTTTTAGTCTGGTTTTGTCAATTTCTTTCTCTTATTCTAAAACTATTAAAAGAATTATCAATTTATTAATTATAAAACTAAGAAGATTTGTAAATGAAAAACCTGTCATAATGACAGTTATGAGATGTTTTATTATTGGTCATAATGACTATATACAAGATAGCTTATTATTTACTAATTATGAATATTAGAAGACAATCATTTTAGAATTTGTAGTAGTCTATTAAGTAAAGTAAATTGATGCTATAAAATTTGTATAAGATGCTTAATTGTAAAAAAAATAAATTGCATATATTTTTTTTTGTTAATAACAAGCATATAAGAGACAAAACAATAGGCACTAAACAAAAAATATGTAGTTGATCCTCAATATTGATTGGCCAACAGCTGTGATTAACAAAATTTTAGTCTACATTATTCTTTCATTTGTATTCAATACAAATTTGCCTCAGATTTTGAATTGCTGATAAATTTTCCATACTATTAAAAAATTTATATAAATATATACTCTTAGTTTTTTGTATTACTAAGCATAAAAACACAACATTAACACTTCTAAAAAGCATTTTGGTTATACAAACTCAAGCTAAGATTTGATAAACTTTTAAAGTTTGATGTCAAACATTAAAAAAATGTAGATTTTAAATAAACTGAATTTTAACTCATCAAATAACTTTTTTATTTCTATTGTTTTTTTTTTCTTTTTTATAAAAATGTTAAATATTGCTACTCATAATAGTATTCTTTTAGATTTATCATATCTCTTTATATTTAAGTGTAACCATTATTGTAAAGAAATAATAAATCATAAATTTGTTGCAACTATTAAATAGCTAAAGAGAAGTCATTTACAAAACAAGAACATGAAGACCATTTTGATACAGATTGTAAAGATAAACAAACTGGTAAAAGTAGTAAGAAATCTCATAAAAAAAGTGAAAAAAATAAAAGAGACCAGAGAGATAAAGAAGAACTAAGATAAAATTGTCACCCAAAAAAATTTTAATGATTACATAATACAGATAATCACATTTTGTATAACAAAAAAAATATACTATATTATAGATCAATATCGATATATAAAAAATTAATTTATTACTACTAATTTAAAAAATTAAAATTTTTGTACTTGCAATACTCAAAATAATAGAAAACATTCTTAACAGCTAATAATTTAAATAATTTTAATTTAATTATACATACTTATAAGTGGCATTAATATAAAAATTTAATTCTTTATTAAAAATATCAAATTTAATATTTAATACTTAAAATAGTAATTGATTTGTATTTATAATATTTACTTACAGCTCCAACAAGCCACAAGTTCAAACTTACAACCTATTATTCTAGGAGACTTTAATGCTCCTGATGATAGTTTACACTCTTCCTTTATTAAATACAAACTTTTGCACTTTCTCCAATATAACAACATGTATGATCTAACTGCCCATACTCAATCATTAACTAATACTTGGCAAAGCAGCCGATTTCAAAGTCAAATTGACTATATTTGGGCAAACCACTCAATTATTTGTTATCTTACCTCATACAATACTAACGACTCTAAAACTAATACAAATAGTGATTATAAAATTCTAATTTCTTCTTGGTCTTTTCCTTATGCTTATTCTGATAAATAATGTTCTGCAACCAAAACTTGAAAAAGAAAATTCCTTTACAAAAAAATGAATGAAGAACTTTGGCAATTATATACTAATCAAGTAGCTACTAATCTCAGCTTTAACCATACACCTACAACTGTTAATACGACAGATCCTTAGAAACAACATGACACAAAATTCAGACCAGTGTCATCTCAGCTGCTCTTCAACATATTTCCAACAAAAAAGTCACAATGTGCAATTTTCAACATATATACTTTGCCAAAGCTTCTTTTTTACATTACAGTCTTAAAAAACTAGGAAATATAATTTGACAAATTAAAGCTTCATTACGAAACCAAACACCTATATCTACAAAACTTAATAACACAATCCAACAACTTAATAATACTGATAATCTTACTATTCCCTCCTTACCAACCAGACATGACCTACTAACTGACTGGATCTCAAACACTAATGATGAATGGAAAGCACTTTATCATGCATGTAATATTGAAAATATTAAAATAATTAGACAACAGATTAATGAAAATATAGCTAAAAGATGTGATAAACTTCAGTCTTAACCAAAATCAATGATTAACAGTATATTAAACCATTACAAAGATCCTGTAAAATTTGACAACATCAAAACAAATCTTGATATTGTTACAGAAGTACAGAAAATCAAAACACATATTCAACAATACTTCGATCAATGGACAGCATATAGACAAATTAATTAACAAATCTACCACTTCTTCTGGTATAATGAATACTAACCTAAAACAAACATTCATCCAGAATGGTACCAAGAGGTATTAGCAGAATTCTCTAAAGAAGAAATTTCTACTACACTTGCAAAACTCCCAAATAAGAAAGCTTGTGGCCCTTTAGGCATAAGCTATGAAATGCTTAAAAATGCAGGTTTACCATTTTTCCAAGCTATAACTGCACTATTTAACAGATGCATTTCAACCAACAGTATACCCAAACAATAGAAAGAAGGAAGAATATTTCCTATCTCCAAAACACCTATCTTTGATGGAAGTTTAACCAATACCAGACCTATTAGTCTTTTAGAACATATTAAAAAATTATACACCAAACTTCTTATTAATCGCTTAAATACTACTTTTACTTTACATTTAATACTATTTTCTTATAACTATATTGCTCTTCCTGGCAACGGTACAGCAATACCAATCCATATACTTAACAATATAATTAAAAAAGCTTCTTGCAATTCCAAAGAACTTTGGCTTATATCCCAAGATATGAAGCTTATGATTCAGTAAACTCTGACCTCTTTTGCAAATCTCTAATACAAATCAACATGCTACCTAAATTAGTAGAAGTTCTTTCTAATTTGCTTGATGACTGCCACAACTGAGTTATAACTAATCTTGGACTTACAGACTCATATTCTGTCAAAAATAGAATTGATCAAAGAGAAACAATTATACTATTATTTTGGCGTATCTACTATGACCCTCTTATTCACAGAATCACATCTCAATTTACAGGATATACCCTTTCAACATCAGTCTACAACCTCCTCGACACCAACACCTTCAAGTCTCTACCTTAGTTCTTGCTTATATAAATGACACATTATGGATTGCCCAATCCAAAAATGAGTTAGAACAAATTACTCAAATGACAGCATCTTTTTACCAAATGGCCAACCTTCAGATCAATTCTACCAAGTTAATATTTGCCACAAACACCAAACCTACTTCTATTACCTTTCTTAACTCCACTATCAACTCTATTCTAAATAGCCAACCTTTCAAATACTTAGGTTGTTGGTTTACACTTAACAACAAACAAACCCATACAATCAAATTAATTC